TTACCAGTCATAAATTTTTATCGGTGATGTATTTATTTATGTTTTATTACACTGTAAGAGTGCTGTCACTGTTTCATACGGTTAGAAGATTACGGTGAATGATTTTTCTTTTATTAGGTCGAAGTGGATTGTGATTGGTCATTCACTATAACAGGTTAGATAGGTGTTGGTAACATAACTGCACGCCATTCATATTCCATATGGGGTTACACTAATTGATTCATTATTAACTCGTCAGTGAGAAGTTTGTTATGTTAATTCCATATAAATCACCGTTAATAGTTGTGTTGATTTCTTTCAGGACATATATTCTCTCTCGTCAACACAATCTTGTTTCAACTCATGTCGAGTAACTTCTTCTTAGAATAAAAAGCAACAACACTATTATCATAAAAGAGATATTATATTGTCAATTGAGTTCTGTTTGTTTTTACTTCTTGATGAAAAAAAAAGCATCATTACATTACATTATAAAAAAAGAAAGAAAGCAAATAATCCCCAGAAATACACATACACATACACACACACACACAAAAAGAAAAAGAAGACAATTCTACCTTTGAAAATTAATCGAAATTAGGAGGAGAGTAAACACACATTCGAAACATCAAGATCTCTACTGCATTATTATATATCAATAAAATACAAAGCGTTATAATTATTATTATTATTCAACACTTCATTTGAATCTCTTGTCAATTTTTTGGTACTTAGTTGGTTGGTCGGTTTTTTTTCTCGGTCTCATGAATTAGGATATAGGATATCATAATGACCTGGTCTGTACAACAATGTCACTGGTGGTTGACTATTATTCCCTTTATTATAAGTATTAATGCATGAATCATTTTTGTCAGGTACTTCTTTGTCACCGTGAACAGTATCATCATTCCCACTGGTTGGTTCACCGGTATTATCAATTAAATCACTATAGGCAGGAAATTCGATACGATTTAATTCACCTGATTGTTGACAATTTTCTACGTAAATAGGTAATTCTACAGCTAATGCTAAAGCAGCTACATGTATATTATCTGATTCACGAGCCATTGGTTCAACTTCCTGATTTTTTTTTTTTAAGTAAAAAAACAAAGTTGAAAATTGTATTTGTTTTAAATTCAAAATTTAAAATCTAATATGAAAAATCTTAATCATACATATAGTATATATGTTGGGGAATTTTTAAAATATCCCTCAGCAAAGTTCATACAACTCTTGGAAATAGATTATCCAATCAGAATTGAATGGACTTCCGTTTGAAACATCTAGAAGAATGACAAGTTCCGTGAAATGTTTTTTTTTTTTGATTGGGTGATTATTATTTTCGTACTGATATGTTTAGTACGCTTCTAGTGACTTTCTAAACGTTCAAGTATACATTCAAGACTTACTGCACATACGTTAACTTTGGAATAAAGCGTTCTTTTTGTACATTGCGCCTTTTCATTTGCATTCATATTGTTGTGTAGATTTAGCCTAGAGCTATTTAGAAGAGGATAGGAATTCGGATCGATCGTTCATTTAGCAGATTGACCAAAACTTTGGTAGCATCCAAAAGTTATGCTGTCTAATTTAACATATTTCGACTAAATTTACATGTATCACAATTATTAGGATGTAAGAATTGATACTGAACTCCTAACTCAGAAAAACCATTATAATATTGACTGCACTTGTATGATAAATATCAATTATCTATCGAATTTTTCAAAACCATTTTAGAGATAAGATGAAATATGCAAGTTTCTTCAAACTATGTAATATGTCAACGTTGTATGAAAAGCAAACTTTAAGTACTGATGAGTTATGAAAAATATTAGGATTACCAAAACAATTTCAAACTTCTTGTCCATATGTATACCACTTGTAAGTAAACATGAGTTTTAGGCACTGCTGCTCAGCAAATATAACCGTTTGTGAAGATTTACTTGTGTTTGGCTAAGATTTAATAGTTAAGACTGCAGACTGCATCATACAAGTTTCAGAATCTGGTGTTTATTACAATTATAAATGCTAAAAAAAGTGTAATGCGAAACCGATATACACGAATCTGTACAGGAATCAAAGGGTCAGTCAGTCAGTCTGTTGCAACGTAGAACTTCGTACGTATGTACATAAGTTCAGATGTCCATATCACATTAGCACAGAGACGCAAATGTCAAATTAAATCCCATAGTGATAGAGATAGTAGAGGTATTAATGGTAATGAAGAAGACTGGGGTTTGAAGATATTATTCAAGAAGTATAATTCAGTGAGATAAGGTTCGAGAGACAAATGTAGAGGTGCTGACGAACCCAAAAGATTAGGATTTGAGAGAGCACAACGAATGGATGCACTTGCGCCATTGCAAACGATTTTGAGCAACGTCGTTCAAGGTCTCTAACCACTGGTGACTTTGGTCTCGCGAACCCCAACCAGGTAGCCTACATCTACCAACATGACTCAGTCCACTTGTCAGTGACTTCATGGATTTGTGCCATGTTTCGGTTTGGCCGCCACTAGCTTTCTTCCAACCTACTCATACACCACAAAACATAGCTCGACGAGGTAGTCGGTGGTCGGACATTCGTAACACATGTTCCAACCACCTCAACTTATGAAGTTTCACCACTTCATCTGTTGGTCTGCCATCCTTACCTAGTACTCGTTTCCTAACGACAGCATTGCTTACTCGGTTGTCCCACGATATACGAGCAATGTTTCTAAGACATCTATGATCGAATACTAGTAACCTACGAACATCTACTCTTAACGGCAATGCTTCGCATCCATATATGAGAACGGAGCGAACTGCTGCGCAGTACACCCGTCCTTTGATTAGCGAACGGATAGCTCGCCTACGCCATAAAAGGCGTAAATGGGCAAAAGGAAATCGAGCTTTCTGTATCCGTTCTGAGATTTGATCAGTCACCAGGCTATCAGCGCTGAAGGGTATCGACAGAAAACTAATATACTCATTTAAAAAATAATTTTAGAATAAATAATGACGAGTTTTACTCAGCTTTTTGAATGTGATTGCTAGTGATACTAGAAAGCTGAACAAACTTAGGTTAGTCAGCCAGTTACAACGTAGAACTTCGTACATGAGTACATAAGTTCAGGTTACCATACCACATCAGCAGAGACGCAACTATCAGTCCAAATCCCATAGTGGTAGAGATAGCAGAAGCATTAGCAGTGATGGAGAAGATTAGAGTTCAAAGATATGATTCGAGGAGTATAAATCAGTGAGATAACTTTAGAAACAGAAAGATAGAGATGATGAAGAACTTAGGTAGACGTGGACAGAGCCCAAACTCGGGATCACATGTTTTCGTGATCAAGTTATGGGTATACTTAACAATGAAACTGCCGCTGTACAAATCATAAAGTAAAAGGAACTTTGCACGATAAGTTCATTTTAAAGGCCAATTAATGATAGACGCATATTAAATTATCAATAAGAAAATAAGTGGTTTAGTTTGTGTATGGGAATATTAAAATTAAAAAGTCCTATTTAGCTAGTAAAAAAAGGAGTTTTGAAGTGCACACGAAACATTCTTCTTACAGTTGAAAATATGCCAAACCTTTAGTATTAACCAGACTTATAATTGCTTGCCGAATATTGTACTTACAACCTGAAATATCTTTAAAGATCCTTTGATTGGAAGATGTGGAAGCATCACTAATGAACAGGATGAATCTGGTGCGGATATAAAGGCACGGAGAGGCAGAGCAAGGGTTGCATTTTTACGATTAGACATCTGGAACTCGAAACAACTATCGACAAATACCAAAGCCAGAATTATCAATACATATGTCAAGACAGTTTTACTGTATGGAGCTGAAACTTGAGGAACTACGAAAGCCATCACACAAAAGATACGGGCGTTTATCAACAGTTGTCTATGTAAGATACTCCGCATCCGTTGGCCAAACACCATCAATAAGAACCTACTGTAGGAGATGACAAATCAGATTCCAGCTGAGGAGGAAATTAAGAAAAAGTGCTGAACGTGGATTGGACACATAGCGGAGATCTCCAAAATGCATGACGAGGCAAGACCTAACTCGGAGTCCTCAAGACCAAGGAGAAAGAGGAATACCAAGGAACACACTGCATCGGAAATTGTCGGTAGAAATTAAAAGAATTGACAGCACTTAGTAACAACTGGAAAGCCAAGAACAGAGTTGGTTGAAGAATCATAGTCGACAGCCCATGCTGCACATGGCGTAACAGAATTAAGTGAGAAACGATGTTAAACAATTGGTTGACTAGTCGATACAATGGTTATCGATTGATAATAACGAATGAAATGTTGAGGCTGAACGGTAGCTCTTCACAAGATCGGAAAACTGACGCGTAAGTCTCCAAATCAACTGGTATCGGAATATTAAATAGATGTCCATCATCAAAGGTTACCAACGATTTGATGATGTTGATATTGTAGGTCACTACTCACTACTCTCCAATGAATTTTTACACATTGTTCATTAATATCATAAACTCAAGAGCGTTGACTTGATTATATTACTTGAAAAAATAATTCATTTATTACAACTAATTCCAATCTGAAGACTAAATAACTATCGCATAATGAGAAAAAGAACGATAAAAGTTGAGAATGCTAATGATTAATGAACTTACTGTTTCACAAAACTGATTGATTGTTTTACCCTCATCAATAAAATTCACAAAGTATCCAGCTTTCTTTTGAATGTATGCAGAAACTAAAAGTCTAAAAACACAAAAATGTCAAAATCAAACACAAGTTTTAGGTTTTTCCAGTACCAAGGCTGGACTTGATGATTTTAAATAAATCGAGGATTGGGTGAAAAGCTAATAATAATAATGATAATAATAATAATAATAATAATAATAATAATAAAATTACGATTATCAGTGATATCCCAATGAGCAGAAGTTTGTATTTGCAACGTTTCGTGACTTTCTTATCATTATTATCAAAGTCCCAATTAAAATGAAACCAGAAATGAATAAATTTGAAAATGTGGTATGCGATTCCAAGTTAGTGTTATCATGTTCACCGTTAAATGAGTGCTCTGGCTACGACTCACTATCGGGTGATGATGACTGTTATACGAGAACAAATATTGAAGAAGTTGGAACTGTTTTTTCTTTCGATTATTGTTAGTGATAATTTTTCTGTAACTAGATTACTATCTCTGAATATTCTGTTTATCATAAACTATCATAAGATTTACTGCTCCTAGTTTATGGCATCTATTACTTACAGTCTCCCGTAATCACAGCCACTCATTGGCTTGTTTATTCATAATTTTTAAATTATGGTGTGATATGGTCTGGTATTTTAGTATATAAACCAAGCTTGATAAATAAATTTAGTAGTAGAGGCTAACTGCTGACTTCTAAACTCAAAGGCAGCACAGTGAGAGCTGGGAATTAGTGGGTCAAAAGGAACCTAGATGTTGGTTGACACAAGGTTTATACTACTGGTCGAACATGTAAGTGACCAAGCCAGGGACACTAAGCTATTGAGTAATAGCATATGCAAAATACACCAAATTTGAATCAGGATTCTGACTGGTGATTTATTATGTGATATTTGTCGGCGGTAGTTTCAAACTACTATCAGAAAGCTGATTTATTCTGTCTGTGATATCAATACGATATTCGATTGGTAAGTTAAAATCGAATACAAAGTGAATTAATATGCTTTTTTCTATCTTAGGAGATTTATGCTTTTACTGGACAAAATAAAACAATGAGATGACAAAAAAAAATCTCATCAATTTATCTTTGTCTAAATACACATATATCACTGATTTTATCTTCAACAAAAAAAAAGAAAACATTATCCGATAATTGATAAGAAATCAATGCATTATTATCAGATATATCAATTTTTCATAGTCATTTATTCAAACAAATCGTATATAGCAGCTGATCTGAAGAAAGCCTTTTTACTACACAAAAAAACTTCACATTCTATTATTACTGTTAATAAATTCCATACTTATGTTATTTTCTAAATCGACAACAACAATAAAAAAAGAAACTTTGCAAATCAAACACCTAGACTCAAACACACAATACAACAATATTAAGCAAAGTCAATCAGTTATTCAATTATAGATACATCTACAGAAGAGTAAAAAAAATAAAAACTACAGCATAACAAACCGTAAAAATACAACATAATAATCTGAATAGGCTTGATCATTGAATACTTCTTCTAATTCTTCCAATGTACCACCATCCACAGTGAATCGATCCACCATTCCAACGAACTAATTAATATTATTGATCAGAATAAAAGAGTAATATTAAAGACAGTAAAAATAAAGGAAAACAGAAATATACATATTTATATTTTTGATATTTAATACAGTTGTAATAGTTCACATCATACGGGATTCATATGATGGATTCAACTGCAAAATCGTACACGAAGGACAGCTAACAGACTCTTTCGAGGTGAAGACCGGTGTCAGGTAAGGTTGCTTACTCTCATCCTTTCTCTTTCTCCTGGTCATCGACTGGATTATGAAGACGTCAGCATCTGGAGGGAAGCACGGAATTCAGCGGACAGATAGAATGCAGCTGGACGATCTGGACTTCGCAGATGACCTGGCTCTTCTATCTCACACGCAACAACAAATGCAAGAGAAGACGACCAGTGTAGCAGCAGCTTCTGCAGCAGTAGGTCTCAACATACATAAAAGAAAAGAAAATTCTCCGAGGCAACACAACATGCACCAACCAAATCACTATTGATGGAGATGCCTTGGAGGACGTTAACACGTTTACATATCTGGGCAGCATCATCGACAATCAAGGTGGATCCGATGCAGATGTGAGGGCGCGAATCGGCAAAGCAAGGGCTGCATTTATGCAGTTGAGAAATATCTAGAACTCCAAACAACTTTCAACCAAAACCAAAATCAGGATTTTCAATACAAATGTCAACACAGTTAGTTCTACTGTTTGGAGCGGAAACTTGGAGAACTACCAAAGCCATCATCCACAAGATACAAGTGTTTATTAACAGTTGTCTACGCAAAATACTTCAGATTCGTTGGCCAGACACCATAAGCAACAACGTACTGTGGAAGAAAACAAACCAGGTTTCAGTGGAGGAGGAAATCAGGAAAAACTGGTGGAAGTGGATAGGACACACACTACGAAAAGCACCTAACTGCGTCACGAGACAAGCCCTCACATGGAACCCTCAAGGCAAAAGGAAAAGAGGAAGGCCAAGGAACACATTACGCTGAGAAATAGAGAAAGATATGAGAAGAATGAAGAAAAATTGGACAGAACTGGAAAGGGAAGCCCAGGACAGAGTTGGTTGGAGAAAACTGGTGGGTGGCCTATGCTCCATTAGGGGTAACATGTGTAAGTAAGTAATTTATTCATTTTATTAAAATGTATACAATATGTTGTTTGCCTACATGGATTAACCAGTACACACATTCTGTTACAAATCAAAATAAGGATTAATTTGTACCATTTTAATCAGTAAAACATTGAATGATAACAATAGTGATTTAGTAGTGGTTAAGGCACTCATTCAGCTTCTACCTAGTAGGATGAACAAGTTTGAACTTTGAACTATGACTTGATTTAGTTTGGTATAACGAGATAGCTCCAATTAATCTTCGTAATTAAAATATAACCAAAACTTTATATTCATACTTGACAAACGAATTATATTATTTACATAATTAACAAAACACTTGAAATAATACTGTCCACTAGTTATTTGAATAAGTTGAGGATTAAGTTAAGATTTTAAAAAAAGGGGTAGAACAATTTTCTTGTTGCTACTATAAACGAGCTATCGAACTTAAGTATTTACTAGCAAGATGCTTTGTAGTAAACGTGTTTCTTTCTTCCCTTGAAGTTACCGTGTATTGACTAATTAACTTTTGGCTATTGATTAATTCAAATGACTAAAAATTTTCCCCTAATTCGTCTTTTCAAAGTGATGTGAACTAAGATTACACAAGGTGTTCATCACAGTCGATCTCTTTTTTGACTTGAAGGCGAGATTTGACTTTACTATCAATACCACGTTGCTGAAATCAATCCAGTGTAGGGGTTTTGGATGGATTACCACCTATCACCCGCTGGCCAGCCACCATCAGCGACAACCTACTCTAACAGAAAACGAACCAACGTCCAGCTAAATAGAAAATTAGGGATAAAACTGGAGGTGAACAGGTCACACTGTACAAAGATCATCGGGTCGCTTCAAGGCAAGACCTCACTTAAAGTCTTCAAAGCAAAAGAAAAAGATCAAAGAACATATTGCATTGGAAATTGGGTGCAGACATCAAAAGAAGAAACACCACTAGGGAACAATTGAAAAGGAGATACCAGGACAGTTAGTTGGAGATTCTTGGTCGATGGATTATGCTGCACAAGGGGTAATAGGAGTAAGTGAACACGGATCACTTATAACAACTACAAGTAGTATGGATTGAATTTGTTTAGGGACCGTATTTACATTCGCCTTAGTTGCAAATACGTTTACGAAAATCATTCCGATTTGTCTCAACCTTTTATTGATCCCTAATGATATCCCTTAACTTGTTTCATAATTTCGGTTTTATTGTTTTCTACTGTAAATTAGTGCAATAGCTTGCACTTTTGTGCAGAGTCTTTAGTTGATACACTTGTTTGTTTTAAATAATTCAACTTTATTCAACAATTTAGTTTGATGCTAAAGTATATAATAAAGTACTTTTGTCACAAAAAGTATGAAATATAGGAAAGTGTTACAATCAGAACATTTGCATGATAGAAATGACTTTTGAGGAATAAGAAATGAGATTGAATGAATGATAGCCATCTACCTGTTCATGAAAATCCTCCACAGTAAATTGTGTATAGCCATTAGCAATTAGTGTATCTTTACACTCGTCACATTTTTTCTTGAATCTGAAAAAAAAACGATAAAATCGATTTATCAAAAGTGTGATGAATATAGATTTCATTTTGAGGTTAAGATGTTTGAGAATAATGGACAAGAGGCTTTAAACCTAAGTCTCATCAACAGCAACGTAGAACTTTGCATGTAAGTACAGCAGTTCAAGTTGCCATACCATATTAGCACACAGATATAATTGTCAATTCAAATCCCATAGTAGTAGAGGTAGTAAAAGTATTAGAAGTAATTGGAGAGATTAGGGTTCGAAGATGTTATTCAAGAAGTATAATTCAATGAGGTCAATTTAGAAAGAGAAAGATAGAGGTGATGAGGAATTCAGAAGGTTAGAATTTCATGAAACACAAAGAGTAAATGCACCTGCGCCATGGCAAACGGTTTTGAGCCATGTCATTCAGGGTCTCTAACAATCGATTATTATCATCTCGCGGACCCCAACCAGGTAGTCGACACCTACCGACATGACTCAGTCCACTTGTCAGTGACTTCATGGATTTCCAAACCTACGTCTCATGTCTTTAAAAACTCATCAGAGATATATAGAATTTCAGAGAAGTAAGTAACCCCAAATGGAATCTGTACTGTTCCTCACCGAAACTTCACACATCCTCAATGAAATATATCAAAGTTGATTTGTGTATATAATACCATAGGTTTGATTAGAACTGGGAGAAAAGATTGTCTATATATTCAAATTTATATAGGGTCAATTCAGACCAGCGATAATGTTGTTGATCATAATTTTGGATGTTTACGAAACAATGTGTTTTGATAGAAACGTAAGTATATTACTCTGACAACTCGTAAGTGGTAGGGCTTTCTAATATCTCCTCTTGATATTCAATAACAAAAAGTGAACTGGAAATCATTTAAAAGGGACCCCACTAAATCAGTGACCATGGAAATTTTCGTACACTGATTTAGTTAAACTTGTTACGTGATTTATGCCATGTTTTGGTTTGGCCACCCCTAGCTATCTTCTAATCTACTCCTACACTGCAAAACATAGCTCATCGAGGCAGTCGGTGGTTAGCCATACGTAACACATGTCCCAACCACCTCAACTGATGAAGTTTCACTACTTCATCTATCGATTTGCCGTCCCTACCTAGAACTCGTTTCCTAACGACAGGATTGCTTAGTCGGTTGTTCCAGGATATACGAGTAATGCTTCGAAGACACTGATGATCGAAGACAAGCAACCTGCGAATGTCATCTACTCTCACTCTCCCTCGCTCTTGAAGCAAAATTTTGCATTTCGAGGGGGAAAACCGCATCCCGAACATGCTCGCGTTGTTGCTTAGGGTAGTCAAAAGACTCTGCATTTTTTCAGCGTCTTCACCGAATAGGACTATGTCATCAGCATATTCTAAGTGAGCAAGCGTGTCTCCTGGTAAAAGGTTCACTCCTGAAGAGTCAGACGATGATAATGTTAACTCTAAAAGCATATCTACGACGAAGTTTTGGTAGAAATGAAACATTAAACCTACAGAAAGGTAGTGTAACAAAATTATGAAGCTTCAGGAATATTAATACACATAATAGACATATTTGTTACGAAAATAGCAAATTAATATTCCTGCATGATCGATTGTGACTTTCATGCTGAGCCACTAAGAAGTCATGATGACTTTAAAGATGTCATCCGATAAAATTGGTCTTTGCTCAGTGTTATCGTGTCACAAAATTCTAGTTAGTGTGTTGATAAACAAAGTCTAGGGTGGAAAAATCTATGACGTACATAAAATATGTTTAGACAATCGAAAACCTACCTTATATTCAATCATGGATCTGAATACAACTTACACTATATATTATCAAGTGTTATCGGAGACGATAAACTAACATAAGTAGGTACCAAACACCTTTGAAGTAGTTACAAGACAATGGGTATTATTGGAATCAAAGAGACACATATAGCAGTTTCACAGGCACCCATCATGAAAGCTAATTAAGAAAATCGCAACATAGCTGTTTATTCGAAAGCAGATGGTAAAAGGGTAGAACACAGTGTATCCTCAAGTTAAAAACAAATACTGTTTCCACAGTGTATACAATCTAACAAGTATGAAAAATAATTAGTGAATTATACAGTTATTTTTAAATTATTGAAAAGTTAACTTTATATAACAGTTTTGTTCTAAAGTAACTACGATAATCCCCTTAATTAGTGATTAATATTAATTAAGTGGATAAGATGCCTTCCCATTAGGGTTATTGGACTTATCTTTGGAACCGTTTCAGGAAATAAATCCTAATATTAAGCTTCTATTGAGTGCAACACATCAGTGAAGATCATCTGAGTTAATCCACTTACGCTTAGTCTATATAACAAAGAATTGAGTTAGTCAATATTTAAAAATGAACGCTGGTGAATGGAGCTCCTTCCGCAAGTTGTTTATGATTGAGAAATCGAATTATACTGAAAGTTGACTCAAGTATAGTTACGAAATTCACTTTGCATACAACAAAAACATGAGAAAGCAAAAAAATGAACAAACCTCCCAGCTTCCTTGATGAGTTTGCCATTTAGCAAGTACTCTATGTACGCAAAACCAAACGCCCGATAAAAACAGTTTCCATCACGTCGAAGTCGACGAATCCCTCGGTAATTTTGTTTCATAAGCTGTTTGAAATTAAAAGAGAATCCTGTCACAGACCAGCAGAAAATGATAATGAATAATGTGTGTACAACTAAGACGGTTACATATTTTTAATAAAATGTTTAGAGTAAGCATGGAGAGGTGTTAAATCGAAAACTAGTAAAGAACGATTAAACCTGCAAATAGCATGAGGAAGATACCGATCCAGACAACTACATTCGAGCGGTTATGGTTTTATCTTTTCATGAGAATATAGCAAGCTCTTTAATAAAACTAGGAGATGTGTAAGATGAGTGGACACCTGTTTAACGAATTACGTAGTAAGAAGACTATGGTCACTAACCTATTCAGGTAACGTTAAAAGGAATTCAATGTCAGTGGTAACTATTTTAAAGGCAGTGAAAAACAGGTGATATTAGCCTTTAACACAGATTTGAGGAATATTATATTATATTATATTAAAACCTAACTTATTTGTAGGCCAAATTAAAACACCCAGACAATGTCACAGAGATTTATTCAAAAATCATGGGTGAACTTGACTATAATGCTCATATTGTCATGCTACACTACATTCATAATTGATCTTGAAAAGCTAGCATTTTTCTAATCATATGTTATACTGGAAGAGAACTAACGTCGTCCTTCCAGGTCAATGATTGTCTTTAGGCCAAGAATGCCGGACAGAAAAGTTACATTTTTGAGACACTATATGAGTGTGGATCCATGTATGGTTTATTATAGCTGGAGTCATGAAATTTTTCTTTAAATCTTTAGAGACCATAACAACAGGCCCTCTAAGAGAGACAGAATAACTTCATTCTCCAGACCATTTGCAAAGACAATCACCGTAAAATTAGTATTATACCAGACCTTTAGTTTTTCTAAGTAGACTGAATGGCCGGTGAAGTCCTCATCGAGTGTTGAAAGTGGGAGGATTGTCGAAATTAGACATGTAGACTTCATCTGTAAAAGTAACTTGATATTATGCCACAAAATTACATCTCTTTCAATTGCTTCCTGTTGAGCCTGAGTGGCCTCATCAGTGTTTTCGTCTGCGGAACTAATTAAAGTTTCTAGTTATCCTTCATCACGGAATATTCGAAGCAAAACGAACCTATACCCATTGACAACAGGACCAACCACGCGCCTCCTCAACGACCTTCAAAATAGCTGGTTAGTAGATTAGTTATTTGTAACAGTTATGTAATGCGTAGAATCCTGGCCTAAACTTATTCTGAGTGTAGTATTGAAAGGAATATAAAACTTCAGGTAGGTTTTCAAATCAGTGTTCTCAACACCGTGGCGGTAAATGGAGCACAGGTCGTCAACCCTGGTTCTTCAACTAAATTTGCCGCTGGCTTTCCAGTTGTTATTAAATGTTTTCGATTCTTTTCATTTCCACCAACAATTGCCGATGCAATATGTTGTGCAGTATTCCCCTTTTTAGATCTTGCCTTGTGATGCAGTTGGGAGATTTCCGTTGTGTCTAATCCACTTTCAGCGCTTTTTCTTAATTTCTTCCTCAGCTGGAATCTGGTTTGTTATCTCCTACAGTAGATTGTTACTGACGGTGTCTGGCCAACGGATATGGAATATCTTGCTCAGAAAACTGTTGATAAACACCCTTATCTTTTGTGTGATGGCTTTCGTAGTTCCTCAAGTTTCAGTCCCATACAGTAAAACTGTAGATAGTTTCTGACTTCGTTGTTGGTTGAAAGTTGGAATGATATCCAAACTGTGGAAACAGGAAAGATTTGTGTTAGTAAGGTAAACCGTAAGGCTGATGAGAAGCGGTGGCATGCGACAATGGACAACTATTCAGACTTATAAAGGAAACTGGTATTAGGAATCCGAATGTGAGAGAGACTATTTCACAAAAGGATGGTCTTATTATTCATTCTCAATTCAGGAGATTGAATCGATGGACAGAACATTTTGTGGATCAGTTCAACACTTCAGTTGCCCACGACCTTCAGTCGTCCTGAATGGCAAGTCAACGCAAGCCCCCCAACTCTCTATGAAGTTTAGAAAGTGACAGGGAATCTGAAGCGAGGGAGAGCAGCAGGTCCTGACAGGTTTACCCCCCGAGGTTTTTAAGGGTGGTAGTTCAGTTTTAGCAGTTCGATTGGATGAGATATTAGATAGAATTTTTCAAACCGGGAGCATTCCCATCTGACTGGTCTCAATCCCTGATCGTCCCAATTTATAAGAAAGGAATCAGCTTAACTAATATAGTGTTTAATTTGTTAACCTTGATATTGCTTAGACACCTAACTACAGCTCGTGAAGAGCAGACTCCAGAAAACCAGGCTGGTTTTCAACCTGTTCGTTGCTGTCTTGACCACATATTCACAGTACTACAGGTCCTGTTACACAGAAACACACTTAGGCATCCGACATTAGTTGTCTTCCTGGACCTTAAAGAGGTATTTCACTATTTTGACCGTGCATCCAAGCAGTCCACTATATCCCTTGATACCATGAGATTATGATGTCCTCATAACGCATCCAACCACCGGAATGAAGAGAAAGAATGAAAGTAAGCAGTGTTGTCTGACACCGATATTCGCGGAAAATGTAATAGTAACGAATATACATTGTAACAGAAAGAATACACTAATAATCTCTTTGACCTTGTAGTGGCCAATGTACCACTAGTTTCTTGACGGATTATATTCATGTGTTCTTAGTCTTCGTAATTTGCTCGTCTAGGCAATGGTCCCCAAATAGTGCCTGGCGGTTATAAATCAGAAGGCAAACACGAGGGGTTGAACACGTTTATTTCTGACGCACCACAAAATGGGCCAGTAGACCACAATTACACAGAGCAGGGCAAGCACACTGTCGAACGAATGGGCTAATTGGTGAATGTATTATTAAGATTAAAATGTTCATATATATATA